TATATATATATTATTAAATATACAATACTTACAACAAACTGATTTACTGTATATGGCCAATTTTAAAAATAATGGCTCCAAATTCGGAAATTAGGTACAGGCCTATTATTTTTTCCAAAATTTAAAATTTGATATATTAATACCTTTTGGGTATATTGGAAATGTATAAAAACGGGCCTAAAGATCATTTCTATCAAACTATGCGGGAGTTAAATATTTTAAATACAGTATATAATAACTCCTGATCAAACAAACTAGCCGGCTTCTATGAATAGTAAACATTCTCAGAAACCGAGTCTGGAAGTACAAGCGGTTGCATTGCAACTAATTTGAGGCGGCCCGCTATCAACGTGATTGGCACGGCTACCACCCACGAACATGGGCGCAGATCATGAGGGGGGGGGGGAGAGACACGTCCCTCCCACATATTTTAAGTGGGGTTCCAAACTTTTCGAAGTTTTATTTTCATGGTACATCACACAGATTATTGGGACTATGATGGGTGTGACCTCACGGCTAGGTAAAGTAAAGTAAGTACATAAAAGACAATTTTTGAAGTTTTATTTTCTATGGTACATGACAAAGATTATGTAGATCTCTGACTGCCAAAAATTCTAGATAAAAGATCATGCGAAATTTGTTGGCGCTTCATTTTGACTATAATGATGATTTATTAATGGTGAGTGTCATTTCCGGCCATCTAGAGGTACTATTTTTTCAAATTTTCCCACCTCAGCCTCAACCATAGTGGGGCCGACGTGGGTGTCGTCTCACGAATGTCCCCACCCCACCTACCTTTCAAAACAGATCTGCTCCGGGGATCCCCTTCCCCACGACCGCCAACATATTACTGTATGGCTAGCTTATTAACGAATTAGGCCCATATCGGCCGCTACCTATAGCAGCCGCCCTCCAAAATGACCGCCAATATGTGTATATGTATGGAACGCCGATGACGCATTCACAATGCAGTACAGTGTAGTTAAATGGTTTGGCATAGGACTAGGTCAAGTCGGTTTAGAATGGTGTAGGACCGGTTCGGCCGTGAACAAGTTATTCGTGTTTTATTGTTAGGTCTTTCATGTTGTCATATAATGTGGTTTTTAGGAAATCGGGGCATTATTATGCTGACATTAGTTTGCCAAAACAACAGTGGATTTTATTAGGTTTTGTGTAAGTCTCGTATAAGTTAATAATTAATTATTTAGATGGCATTTCGTTTTATCTATTTAAAACAAACTAATGTACATTATATATGCAATCATATGTTGATATAATCGTGTTGTATTATCGGGTATTTTGCTGCAAATTAATGTCGTTTTAAGCAATTCAATGGATCCCACTTGTGAGAACGTTTCTCACTGAATTAATTGTTACTAGGCAACTTAGTACTGGCAGCTTAATACCTATTTAAAGCAATGAATTTCCATTCATGCCTAGATTTAATTATTAATTAATTACATAAATACGGTAACCAATCAATCACTTTTATCTTTAATCGTACATATATAATATATATAATTATAATGCAGGATTAATTAATCATATTATATACTTTATTCTAAGATACAAATCAAGTTTCTTGATAAGTTACAGCTATAGTTAAATTAAATTTCTCCTAAGCAATAAAGTTTCAACTTATATTTTGCAGGATAAAATAAATGTAAAACACTTCTTAACTAACTATTACTTCTTAACTATGCTATTAAAACTACTCCGTAAAACAATCAATCTTAATAATAATAAAGTATTTCGCCATACGTTCTTTCAACAACATAATAAAGTCTTGTTTTGTAAACTGGCATAGGGCCTATTCTATTTTTTCAGTAAATGTTTTCTCATCACGATTTCTAACAAAATGTTTTCGTTACACAACTACTGGAGTAGGGAGTTGTTGATTATCAACTCACTGTGGCTAGACAATGAACATGCTTGCTTCATCAGATAAGACAAAAGATATCAAAGATATCAACCTCCGTGGTAACGTTAACTTTTAACCCTACTACTCTAGTATTGTTGCTTTTTATTGAGTAACAAACGATTGAATCGATGGCATGAATCGTGTACATATTTGAGTATAAAGAATTAAGAAACGAATATCATATGTATGGACTTTAGAAACACTTCAGTGGAGGAAACCAATTTTCAACCTATTCTTATATAAATTATGTATACATATTTAAATATATGTGGCCTATATATATTAATTAAGATATAATATATATATGGCCTATATAATAAATAATGAAACAATATTAGTATTGTTGCTCTTTATTGAGGAACAAACGACTGAATCGATGGCATGAATCGTGTACATTAAGAAACGAAAATCATATGTATGAACTTTATATAGAAATACTTCAGTGGAGGAAACCAATTTTCAACCTATTATATAAATTATATATGTATACATATTTAAATATATATGGCCTATATATAAATTATGATATAATAGATAAAATCCAAACTAGCTTTATAGTATAATAAGAAGAAGAAACGAATACCATACTTTATTATTGGAGAACTTCAATCTATCGAAAGTTTTGATGTTATATTGGAGCAATGTTTTTATTATATTTTTATGATGTTTACAATTCTTAATGTATGTGACTTCAATTTATTTATTTTTTTCAATAGTTATTTTTTAAGTAATTTTATATAGTATGTAGGCCTAGGCCTATATAACTAGGCCTATATATAAAATGAAAAAGAGGGCCGAGTTGACCTGCCGGGCCGAGTTGACTGGGGCCTAGTTGAATCGAAACCTTTGTATTTAGCAAGCGGTATTGTATTATTAATTGTGAATGCATCACCGGCGTTCCATACATAAACACACATTGGCGGCCGTCGTGGACTGCGGCCGCTCTAGGCCTAACTAGCGGCCGGTGGGCCTAGGCCTTATTAACTAGGCATGCCGCGCAGGCTAGCCGGGCCTAGGAAAGACGATAAAGCGCTAATTGAGACAACGCAGTTTGTATTTTATTACTGTACTTACCTTCGGTACTACCTTCGTGAGTCATAAATGGAATATGTTTGCGTTCAGAAAAGATGTCTGGTTGTTTCTGGAACAAGTTAATGGCAAGATTAGCATCATTGATCCACACTGTTGTTCGAAATGGTCCCTGATACAGAGTCATTACATCACCATAATGTTCTGCCCATTTAATTATATTTTTCCATGGTTGCTTTCCATACGAAAGAATGTTTCCGACAATGGGTAGCGGAGTGGGGCCCCGAGGCATCAAACTTATTGACCGTTGTCTAAGATAATATATTGTTAGGATAATTATGATAAACACAAGAAACGTATCATAATTTCCAACAGAGTCGGTTAAAAACAGTTTCATGATGGTCCTTAAAAAGTAAAGTGTAAGTCTAACTATACAAAAGTCAAAGCTCAAACGACCGGCTGATTCTTATTGCGCATCACCAGTTCTGCGGTCGGAAGTACCGACGTCGTTTATTTTGTATAACGTCGTCTTCGATTAGATTCTATCATTCGATTGGCCGGTCATCTAGTTAATCATTTTTTTAGGCCCGTACGCATGCGCAGTCGGTGGTTGTGGAGCGAGTGAATGACCATTAAATAAAGTAAAAACACTACTGTACAATTTTAAATAGCGATCCTACAAAATACCCGTCTGATCAATGACTATTTATAAAACAAATTAAAACTTAAAAAACAAAATCTCAGTCTCTCCTCCCCTCAAGACTCATAGCCGTTCTTGTTTGGTGAGAAAAAAAAAAGCAAAATACTGTAGTATCACATAAACAATGCACAATTCTGTAGTTAAATGCCTGTAAATCGCTGAAAGTAATCTATGACTCAGTGAGAGTAGCTTATAATGCAGGTCTTGTGTAATTAACAGGTACTGGTTTTTAATATACCTCCCTGGCTTAATACATAATTTGTATACTCTTACGAAAATTCCGAGAGGACAAAATTATTCTTCTATCATGGACGTAAACTATTAGGCCAAGTTACCAAAAAAAAAAAAAACATGTTTCTCGTCACATAATTTTGAAAAAGAGGAGGAGGTTGAGGCCCCCTCCCCCTTTTTTTCTTCTTCTTCTTCGCTGGCCATGGCCGTGAGGTTTGTGACATAAACAGTCTCCAAAGATGCGTGTCTCACTACTTAATTCTAAATACAATGTGAACATACTACTGTATTATATTATACAGTAGAAAGCTATACTACTGTATATTGAACACAGTATTTGTTTTATGTTTCATCTGTTTTCACATTGTACAGTAGTATGTTTATACATTGAATACAGCATCACCAGATTTATATGAAATATGGTCGAAAATCAATATACAGTACCGTATGTTTTCAGATATCGAATGAAATGCGATCGTAAAATATTATTTTCCTCAAGAGTCGACCCACGAGCGGAGAAGAGAGCATGCTTTTCAATTCTAGAATGATTCGAAATTGTGGAAAGTCGGCGAAAATATTGAATCCATTTTAAATAAATTTGATCTACAAATGTTCTTTAACATTGACTATTGTACAAAATGGCTTAATGGCTTCAAAGAAAAAAATATTAAAAAAGATAACATAAGTTGGTATAACAATGCTTTAAGTAAATCATCTTTAAAACATTACATAAGATACAAAAGTGAACCTAAAATGGAAAAGTATTTATTAGAAAAGTGTAACTTTCATGCTTCAAGTTTAACATTTAAAGCTCGTTCTAACTCACTACCTCTTGAAGGAAGAAAGGAATCCTGGTCACCTCAAAATTTAGGCTTATGCTTATTATGTGACTGCGTGACAAAGGAAACCATCAATCATTTTGTATTTGATTGTATAAGATTAAAGAACATTAGAACTTTAATATTTGACCAACAAAAAGGATTTACATATATTTTGGGAATTATTCATATCAAGCTCCCCTGAACTTAAATACCATCTTTTGTTTGATGATTTAGAAATCCATTACGAATATCAAATTTTAACAACAAATTGTATAAACCCTATTAATTATACTATTGCGAGTAAAGTTTTCGATAATCATTGTAAATTACTTTTAACGATGGCATGGAAAGAACGAAATGATATATATATATAATAATTTTCTATTGCAAGACTAATATGCCTGGTTTTAATGTTATTGAATTAAATTTACAATATTTACTCTGTTATATGTATATGTATGTGTTTGTGTATGTATGTGTATATGTATGTATGTATGTGTGAATATGTGTGTGGGAGGGGCGTGTGTATGTGCGTGTGTCTATGCATGTACGTATTGTGTGTGTATGTATGTATATGTAAGCATGTGTGTGTGTGTATGTGTATATATATATATATATATGTATATGTATACTGTATATATATATATATGTATATGTATATATATATATATGTGTATATATATGTTTGTGTGTATGTGTATTTGTATGTGAGTGTATAAGTGTATGTATTAACCAACTTACTTATATTATTAGTTATAGTATTTATTTTTATCTCTATTACTATTTTTGTAAACCCTTTTTTTATTATTTATATTTCGTTCTACCGCAGTATTTTCTTACTATATTTTATCACAGTAATTTAGTTTTTACTGATTTTGTTATTGTTGCACGTCTTTACGGCTGTGCCTCTGTTATAAAAGAGAAGCAATAAAGTTACTTACTTACAGTAGCGATCGAACAGGAATCGGGGAAATTGAAACAATTACGGTCTGGCACGGAATATTAGAGGAACACAGAAGAAAGTTTCGGTAGGTATCTATCGCGAGATCGGCGATCAAAAATCGCTGTCGTATCGGCGGTGTTGACATCGGTAGCGTATGTGGGCTAGGCCTAGAGGCATTTTTTGCAAAGACGTTTCGTTTCTCAGGTATATTTTCGAAGTTTTACTAGGGGAAAAAAAGAAGGCGGCCCTAAAAAAGAATGCGGCGGGCGACGAGAAACATTTTATTTTTTTTACATGGCTTAGGCCTAACAGTGACCTCGTTTTAAAAAGGCTTCAGTCAAATTATACAATGATAATCTATATATGCCTTCATGGAATTTATATTTTAGTCCATCAAACCAAGGTTAGGCTTATTACAAAAACAAATCTCTACTGGTAGAGATTAACCTATAAAGTACGTCTTTCTTGTCTATGGATTATACTGTTATTACACTCAAATCTCAAAGTGAAGTTTCAGTGGCGTTAGAATCTGTTTCTACTTCTAATTGTGAAGTTTAGTTTTCATGTTTAAATATTTTAATATTCTGAGCCGTCGGAAGCATTTTGCAAGTGGTCCGGCCATTTTAATAAGAGTGGGCGTGGGTGGGTGGTGGGGTGCAACACATTTTTTCACCATTGAAAAAATGGCTCCTCAGCCGGGAAATAGCACATGCATAATTTTAGAAAAATCAATGTCTTCACTTTTAATTTAAGGGTTACAATTTTTTATATTGAAAGTAGGCCTAATCAGGGCCGACTTGGCCATTATACCTTTGCCAAAATTTTATAATAGTTATTTGTTATTTTATATTATACCTCTAAACAATTTCAAAATCAGTCTTAAATATTAAAATTAAGGATTGTCAATAAAGTTGAAATGTACACAGCAATACAATAAATTGTGTTATATATTACTTACACGTAGATATAATGCACTGTTTTGTGTATAGCGTGTTTTTTTTTTTTTTTTATTGAATGACGATAATGTTAGTGGCAGTGTTAGTAACATTTTAATGGAAAGACAAGTTGATGTCTAGCTACTAAGAAAATTAATTAAGAATAAATAAGAGCATGCAGTTACTGTACAACCATTTTAAAACCTTTAATGTATTATTTTTAAAGTTCCATCTAAATAGAGAAATCAAAAGACCACATTTAGTACCCATGAGTTCCAAGTCTCCCGTAGAATGGGGTCTCCCGGTAACTGCAGGAAGAACTCCTGCATATTTTTCCCGAAATAAACCATCTCCCGCAAATTCATGATATTTGCATGCTTTAACAAGTTTCTAAACTGTAATATCAATTGTCTGCGCAGCAGTTAGTACCAATCATTAATGTTTATCACCAGGAACAGCAAAATGTGGTTGTCATAAGAAAATTCATTTAAACAGATCTCCCGGATGTGGATAGTTCCAAATTGGGACCCCTTTGAATTAGACACCAAAAGACCACCATGCACAGGACTTGACTACAGGGAAATAGTTTTAGCATTAATAATAATAACATCTTACAGTAACTGTAGGGCCCTACACCCATTCAAACATCTTACATTTACTATATCATTTCTTAATTCCCCTCTAAATAGAGATATTAAAGACTACTTTTAAAGCCGGTCTTTAATTATATTGATTCAAATTAGAGACCAAGCGGTTGCTAAAGACCACTAAAACCCTGGTCCCAAAAAGGATTTTTAATTGGTGGTAGGAGGGAGACCTGTGATAGGATTGAGAAAAAGTGGTCCGACCAAAGCCGGTGCGGTTCCGACCGCCCTGTTCATTGTTCACTTTTTGCAATTATTGCATTCTTGATTCTTGAAAACAGACGTTTTCAGCCGCCGATCCAGACTTCCTTACCGTTCGCCATAGTGAAGATCAGAATAGGAGATAAAATATTTTTTTAAAATATGAAGTGATTGCAGCGTCTGGTGGACCGGCAAATTTCAACTCTCCCATTCTTTCAGAAATGCCACCAAACAAAAAGATAAAATAAATGCAATACTTTATTACATTGTCTAAATATTAAGAAGGGACTTAATTAAATCGGCGGAGCAACGAGCGGCATGGTATCCGAATTTCAAATCAAACATCATTGGAAGTGGAAAAAGAATAAAAGACAATGCTGGAAAATAAGATAGGGGCCTATCCAATTAATAAGTGGTTAATAGGCCTATTGTATTAATTGTAATGTAAAAATGTAAAAACAATGATTAAAATTTTAAATTGTATCCAGTACTGTCATCATCCCATCTGAGTATCAGCTGCAAAGAGATTATCAATACTAAAGACTGTATTCAGTCTGCCTTGATTCGGAAAAACACAATTTATCCATTTTATGAATTTTATCCATGTTAGAGACTGGCTTAGGGGCACCCTGTGGATGTAATCTCTCATGTTAATTGATATTTATACTCCAAACAATATTTAGAAATGTGAAATTATTATGAGAGTTACGCATTATATATATATCCAACAAATCAGACCAAATTGGAAGAGAGCATTACCGTATAAACGCTCGAATATGCGCCGCGGGGCTTATGAAACATTTAAAGAGGAGATTTATGATTGAAGGTAATTATTTAAGGAAATATAAAATGTATATGGGTCTGAAGCTACGGTGACAAAGTGTTCTGTTTAGAAGTTCAAAAGAGTGGTTAAAAGAGTGGTTATGTTGTGGTCCTAATAGCTGTAATATTATGTTAGACCATTCAACATAAAACATATCAAAATTATTAGGTTGAACTTTGCACTTCATATAACGTAAATTCTTGGAATTTGGATACGAGATTTTCATGACAATCGAAAATAATTAAGGAAATATAATATGCATAAGGGTCTGAAGCTACGGTGACAAAGTGTTCTGTTTATAAATTAAGAGGTTTAGAGGTTATGTTGCGGTCATATTAGACTGTAATAATTATTATTAAAGACCATTCAACAAACAAAAACGTGCCCTATCAAAATTATTAGGTTGAACTTTCCACATCTATAACGTAAATTCTTGGAATTTGGATGAGATTTTCATGACAGTGAATGTACTAAATATACAACTTGTGATTTTCTATGAAAAAAAAAAGTCTTAAATATTTAAATTTTAACCAGCATTGTTAAGCCAGTAATATTGGGGATTTGTTATAAGGCCTGAAAAAATTGTTTTCCCTTTAATGCTGAAAATTGTATTGGAGGGGCGGGCGCAAGAAAGTTTTTTTTTTCTCCTGTCACCAGAATTAGTACTGCATATTAAATTGCAATGCTTGCAATTAAGCCTGTCTCACTATTTGTTTTTCAAAGGGTATTCATCAGACTGAATACAAATAACCCGTAGTTAATATTTTGTAATGAATTGAGGCCTAGAATGGCGACACCAACAGGCACTGAATACAAAGCGTTCTGGGAGAGTATTCTTTATTATGCATGTACAGAACTTGCAATTTCATTAATCTCCTATCAAATACTCCAAGAAAGGCAAATGTATGAAGTGTCTTACCCAAGTAAACATTCCATAGTACGAAGGATGGATTCACTATTTTTATTTTATTTGTATTCTTTTTATTTTTTATTATTTATTTGTTTTATTTTTATATTTTTAACTGACAGAATATAACAGAAGTAAATGAATGCCTGAACTGATATTTTGTAGGTTTCACATTATTTTCTATACAAACAAGATATCATAAATCATATAATCTGTGTGCACTGAAAATTTGAAAAAGATGAAATTGTCGCCAGACCCCCAACAGTAACTCAGGCTACGGGCATCGGTTGACACTTCACATCAAAGGGCCTAGTAATCAATCTTGCACAGGAGCCTGTCATCACCTAGCTACACTGCCTCGTCATCATCTTCATTATCATTAATTTCCCATAGTAAGTGCATTTCCAAACATCCAGAAAACAAAACTTTCCGAAGAACCCCAAACCCCTTCCCCTAATCCACCTCCTCAGTGAAATTAAAAATCCTGTGCGCAGTTGTGATGTATATATTTGTGATTGAATGACTGACTGAATAAAACTGGAAATGGTGATCATTTCTAGAAGATATTTATTTGAAATCGTATGACAACACACACAAAGGATATTTATTTGAAATTGTATAACAACACACACTGCTACTCAATGAGCACTAGCCCAGTTCAAATGTATTCAGTGAAAAAGCTAACTTGTAATCAAGGTTCATATCTCTGCAAGTTGTTGAGTGGGATATTTACGGGAAAGCATGGAGGACGCATGCTCCATCCCAAAATCTTGTACACCAGGCCCAATCTAACATGAAATTTGCTAGCAAAAAAATTACTTTTAAGTAGATAAACATCACTCAACACCTTATTTTGCCAGGTAACAGTTTTCAATTAATCATTGCGCCCCCCCCCCCATTCACCTTCCATCAGTGCTTACTCCCCTCCCCCACACCACATGTCTATACTCCTTGATATGCCACTGAGCATATTCCAACTACCAGTACAGTATATGCTACCTTTCCTTATGATCATAAGGCTTACTTTAAATAAACACAGCACATTAAAGCAAACACATCTTTAGCACACTGATAAAAAATCAGATAAGATTTATAATTTCATACAGAGCACAAATTATGAATGCCCTGTTAACATAAGATAATTCAACAAACATGAATCAAATTTAATTGGTGAGACTACCACCGGCAACGGATCTGCTCATTCTGTTATTCTGATCGCATTTCTCATTTCTATTAACTCATCTAGTTTACATGATGTTGAGAATCTGTTTAGCGCCCTCAGTAGCTTGAGGCGTTCAGAAGATGCTTCAAAATCTGCAGCTTTCTTCTTGGCCAATCTAATAACCTGTACAAATAGTATGAGAAACAATAATAAAATGTGTCACACATGTAGAAACATTTTGAACATAACCAATGCTCAAATAATTGTTGAACTGAATTGAAAAGAAACCAAACAATGAACCATAGCCAGATTTATGTAAAATCAAACACAGCACACAATCAATTTCATGCACTGTAATAACACTTACTTCATCAGGTATATTTGCTAGCCTAGCTGCGTTGAAACCATAGCTCTTTGGACACGCTCCACTCACAAACTTGTACAAGAACGTTATCGTCTCCTGACTTGGGTCATCATCATTTTCATTTTCAACCATGCAAGCCTGTAAATCAACAACAGAAGAAAAATCATACTGTTTCCTACTGTATGTCCATTGTAATGACATATCCAGTTGGGTACCTTTGGTGGTGAATTTAGCTGTACGTTGCAAGTCTATACCTTGGGTTATTTTTTAAGAGTGTACTGCCATTCGTGCACCTGGGCCATATTGAACACAGGACTAACAGTTTGTCTTATCTGTGTTTCAGCCCTCCAGCTAAAATATAAGCAGAGCAGTGATGAAGCTGAACTGAAGAAAGGTCTGAAAGGATCGCCATGGTGCAGAGCACACGCAGTGACGTACTACCCCAGTCTGGCATGTATTTTGCACATAGAAGTGGATGAGAAGAGCAATGGAATATCTGCTGGTGTACCAACCCATCTGCAATTATTAATGAGCTTTCTATTTGTGCGACTGTGTGACACTAGAATGGATTCACTCACGCATGACCCTCATACCGTCCTCTGCACATTCGCATGTGCAAAATGATGTTTTAGTGACGTCATTACGTTCTACATCTTACTGCCATCATACAAACAAAAGTTCCCTATTGTCTGCATTGCAACAGATATGCAAGTAATTATGACTGACCACAGAATAAATACACTTACCATATGGCCCAACTGTATATTTGGGTCATGTGCGAAGTCTTCAACCAACGAATGATAATGAGTGGAGAAAAGTGTACGGCATCCAACGTTTTCTGTCAATTCTTTGACAACAGCGCTGGCTATAGCTGTTCCATCATATGTCGCTGTACCCCTACCAAGTTCATCTAGTAGGACCAGTGAGTGAGATGTTGCATGCTGTAGGATAGATGAGGTTTCACTCAACTCCACAAAGAATGTACTTTCACCTAAAATCACAAATAAGCATAAAAAGAGACAAAATAAAGAATGCCAATGGTAACAATAACAAAAGAATTATCAGATTAATTGTTTCAAAACTCTGTCATCACAAAGTGGATAAAATTTTAATTTTTAATGTTAATTAAGAAATTGTCACATTAGCTAATAATAACAAAAATAATTCTGGATTTATATATATTCATGTTTTCACAACCTTGATGCACTTAACAATAACATAAGAAAAGAAAAAAAACCCCATAAACTAAATTGACAGACAATAATATATAAAACAAGAAAGTAATGTACACATATTTTGTTGATTATTTAGCTAATATATTTTTAGGGTTTAGTTAATTTAGTTTAACAATTAATTCAATGATTATTAATAACTATTACAGTAGTTTGATTACTGTGACAACTTATTCAATTCGGCCCACACAGCAATTCTTAGAGATTCTTTCCATAGCGTGTTACTTTCCTTATCATTTCATAGCATGTTACTTTCCTTATTTCGTAGCATGTTACTTTCCTTATCATTTTACAGTGTGTTACTTTTCTTTCCATCCCAGACCCTTTCTTTTTTCTTTCTTTAAGTTCCCTAATCTTTCCATTTCTTTCCCTTTTCGTACATTACAGCTGAAAGCTGACGAAGGGTTTTCGGTAATTTCTACAGCGACTGAAAAAATGTCTTCATTGTCACTGAAATTTAACATATTAGCACATTCATAATAATCATAAAATTACTATAACAAATAAAAATAAAACAGCAGTTATAACAATAACAATATTAAAAACAATAAAAATACACCACATCATAAACATTACTCATGAACAATTCTATATTGATCTAATAAACTAAAACATATAAGCTAAAAATAATGTTGACAATAAATATCAATATGAAAATATTATTTGCAACAATCATTATCAATAATAATTTGACAAGACTGACTGAGAAACATATTAAAAGGTGGTCTGATTGAAATATTAGATTAGAATAAATAAAAATTTATTTATATTGTGTTACCTGACATGATATTGTCACTTGCACCTAACCTGGTGAAGATACGATCTACCGGTGTCAGAGTACAGGATTCGGCTGGAACGTAGCAGCCAAGCTGCGCCATGACCACTACTAGACCGACTTGCCGCATCAACGTAGACTTGCCTCCCATATTAGGACCGGTGACTAGAACACAAGATCCTGTTGCTGAACTTTCACTGGAATCCTATGAGATAATTAACATTAGGAAGTAGTGAAATTATTGTAGTTATTGGAAAATATAGGATAGAAGATATAAGTAAATTATGATGAAAATTAAAAAATTTTCAATGCTAAGTCTGTAAAAGAACTAGAGCAGTCACTCCATTGAGCGAGCCAAATGGCCGAGCGGTTAAGGCAAGGGCACCGTGATCATAGCCAACAATATCGGTATAGGTTCGCGGCCGGCTCGCTCTATGGTTCTGGTGGTGAAACAAGTCTTCTCGGATAACGACTATAAACCGTAGACCCAGTGTACACAAATGCTCATGTGCACTTTAAAGAACCCAGTACATCCTTCGGGATGAGTAGGGTGTTACCCCGGTGTACTGGTTCACCCAGGCCCTTTCGTTTATGTGAACTGGGCCTTCTGGGAGAACAGTAATTTATTACTGAAGAGGAAACCCAGTATAAAGAACAAATAAATAAAAAAATAAAAAAATAGAGTATATCTACATATCTCTGCCCTGTGCCAGAATACAATACTACAATACGTAGGATGTTTATGATGGGCGAAACTGCAAGCTACCCTCAAGAAAATAATGGAATCGCCTGCCGTATTCAGGAACATAGTTTTCTTGAGTGCTGCCTGAATGCGAGGGGCAATTCCATTATTTACTTTTATGCTCGAGGGTCAAAATCGAATTTCTGTAGCCTTGACCTTTGACCTTTTCCTATGAAAATTGAAAGGTGCTTTTCATTGATTATTATGTACCATTCCACTAAAATTCATGATCATCCATTCAAGAGTTTTGCGTAATCTTGCTAACAGACAGAAAGACAGACAGCAGTGAATAACATTCTTGGTGGAGGTAATTATGCTTTGACCTGTGTCTAATTGGAAGTAAATAACTGTTTACAGATTCTATCAGTGTATAACTTTATTTATCCATACCTAAACTGGAATCCTACATTAATGGACCTTACTAACAATATACTTACCTTTGCCACACCAATGTAGGTGTCATTTGGAATGAAGTCATCACCACTTGAAGTGTGTACAATACATGGGTGTCGGGCCTCTTTGATTGCTATAAATGGCTTGAGAATTAAATGAAAAAATACAGACATACAGATTAATTCAGGATTTGAAAGAAAAAAAAAACATATTTGTCTTTACGCTTAAAATTAAATTGTGTGACAGTAGTTACTAGCTATTTTGAACTCTCTGTATTACTATTAGTATAACAATGCCAACTAGCCAATACTAAAGAATATAAAGATATATACTTACATTTTATGAATACTTTTATAAATATTAACAATAATTTCATACATTAATCAATCAAATAAATATTTATTCAGCAAAAACAATCAAAAATAAATTTGAATGAATAGCCAAAGAATATAAAATACATCCATTAATACCCATGAATATCCATAAATTCCCTACACACTGTACATCCTTATTTATTAGTCATTTGATTTATGGACTTGACTTTTGATATTCATAAATCCATAAATATACAGAATACACAACATTTATTGGTCTTGTGAAAGTAAAAGCACAGTACAAGAAATTACTTCCTTGTTGGCAAACCATATAAAAAATCGCTACAAAACACAGTACAAAATAATATGTATGTATCCATACATTTAACATTGAAATTACTAAGTAAAGACACATTTCAAACCTTAGAGTGTCAGTGGGCTCTTTATTACTGTATACATTTATGGATATCCATAAATAACCCCATAATCATTAATCTCATACAAGGTCAAATATTGTCTAATAAATTTAGGTTTTTTGCAAACAATTTTGGTCCATGTAAGAACCAGATTTGGTAATTTTATGTGATGGACAAAGATACAAAAAAATTATAGGGCGTACCTTGTCACCATTAACAGGCAAAACAAGATTAGGTCTGCACATATTAGGCATCTGGCTGTAAGAAGCTAGGCCAAGTAAGACATCCAGGACAGAGAGGCACTGGACACCTGCTTTCCAGTCACTGTAGCTGTGAAATAAAATGATCAATTTGAATTATGTGTTGTCATCATTACCGCAGCAATAATTTCTTTACAAATGGCACTTAATTTGTTATCAAAGGAAGTATAGCTGTAAACTACACAACCTAATTTTTTTTCCATTTTAAGCATAGTCAACTTACATATCAATTTGTTTGGGCTGTTTTGACCACATAGCAAAACATTTTTAATACTGTGCGCTTGTTAAAAAGACATAAAGGAACAGATTGAGCACGCTTGAAAAGGGTATATGAAAATGCACTTTTTTAAACAATTATTCATTAGTGAACAATATTAAAAATACATTCCAAATCTATGCATAACACTGCCGAAATAAGATAATTCCACTATCAAAGAATTTTAACAAGTCTTTTGATACATCAGGTACCATATTTTCTTCAGTTCAAAAAAAGGAACCCCGCCAATTTCCTGGGCTAACAGTGAGCCTGGCCAGTTTTTCTTTTTGATGAAAATGAATCAATGATGGAAGAAAATTTTATTCAATCAGATTAATTTATATATATAATTGATTGCAAGAAAGTTTGCAACTTGTTGCTGCTTCAACCTAAACACAAACAACTCCTCATAAGCCAGCTCAAATCCCGCTGAAAACACACTAATATTGCTCATATTTTTGTAATTCAACCCCCATATTACCCCATGTGGCAAAATATTCACAAAAAAAAAAAATAGTTTGTGAATTGTTTGCAAAAGCTATATTTATATCCTTCTATTAATTGTTCCAATCTAATTTATCCGAATTAAAAAACAGTCAATGTTTTTGAAAAAGCACTAATGGTTAAAAGATAAGGTGATATTCACGGCAGTGCATTTGCATAAGTGGACCAGATAAATTGATATGCTTTTCCTTAAGGATGTAAAAAGCATTCCACAGTATTCTGAGCATAAATATTCAGCAATCACCCATTTTTTACCCATCAAGTATAGTCACCTATTGAACAATAAAACTTAAGCGTACTTTTTAAATTTTTTATGTAGGCCTATAGCTTTTCATATATGATATTTTTAATCCTGTATATGTGGCAAAGACAAGCCAAACCAGTCACTCGTCGCAAAAGTATTTAGTTATTAATACAGGGTTCAAGATGAAAATGAGAGCTATATAATGGTAAAAGAATCCTTTAAATCTGACATTTCTTTATGAAGTTACAAGTGTTTAAACATACAGCTGTTTAATGTACAATATTTGAGAAATCGACATCAAAGTTTATGATTTCGGATATTTCTCAGGCAGAAACCATCACCAAATTGCTAATAATTGTTGTTTAAATACTGAAAATAGGGAAAATAATAGCATACTGTAGAATAATGTATATATATAAAGGTTTGTTTAGCGCAATGAATTAGATTTAGAAAAAGCATGTTTTGGCCATTATTTCTAAAACACGATTTGCGACGAGTGACTGGTTTGGCTTGTCTTTGCCACATATATTTTAGATCTTGTGTCACTCAAGTGTAGAAATTAGAATTTCTTGTCAGTTGTTTACCTCAAATATATTTATTGTATATTGCTTCCTTGGCAATAAATAATAATTAATAACATATACAATAAAACAGGAAAAACTCACTGCTCGTCAAACTTGTGGAATACTGCCCTCATCGAGTCTTTAAGTGCAGCATCTCTCCGATCCTCCGCAGCTATTACGTCCTCCAGGTAACCTTTAATCTCTCCAGTCCAATATCTTTTGAAGCCTTTCTTTTGCGACTGAAGCTCATACTCATCTGGGGTATGACGAGAGAGGGCACTCTCTGGGATTTCAAGTTGGAAACGATTCTTTCCAGTCCCCCAATACGTAATATTCTATGGAAATTATTCAGGAATTTAACAAATAAATGTGTAGTATACAGCCCTTTTTTGTTAATAATAATAATAATAATAATAATAATAATAATAATAATAATAATAATAATAATAATAATAATAATATTAATTCTTTATTTGTTCTCAATCTAGTCGAAAAACGGAAATTTTGGCTGGGCTCCTGGGGAACCGCGGCAGCCGCAGTACAGTGCCACCCGACTTCACACGTAACGGACACAAACACTGCCCTTACCCCGCCAAAATCTCAATATGAGGGTTATTCAAGGAGCCAAGCGATCAGACTCCAATTATAGCCCAACATTGGCTGGGTTTGAACCGGGGTCTTCAGGGCAAGAAGCTGGAACAATACCTCTCAGCCAACCGCTCAGCTTTTGAAATGCCTTTAGTGGTAAAACAATGATTTTTTTTTTATGTATTATGAAATCAAACTTGCTGTTTCTCAGTGAACTTGCTCCACAGTATAATGGTGACTGAGTCAATCATAATCATCATCTTATACTCTTTGCTCATTCAACTAGTATTGATGTGAAACAGTAATATCCTGTATCATGCAGTCATAACCGGGGGTTATTAAGTCATTTTCAACAGTAGTAAGAGAACTGTGGAACCCATTTCTTATGGAGATCAAGTATTGCAATGAAAAATAACATTTATTTTGTTAAGTTAATGAATAAAGAAAGATGGAGAAAATCTTGTATTATAAAAAAACTCTCAAAAAATCCTTACCTTACATCCCAGTCGCTTCTTTTGACGTTCCAATACGACATCCAATTCATTCTTAAACCTCTTTAAATCAGCAATAGCAGTATCATAGTCCTGATTGACCCCCGGGCTTGGAATAATAGCCCCTTGCTGTTTGGCCTTTTTGTGATCAAATGCATGCTATGCAAACAGAAACAGTGAAAATTAATTAACATAATTATTTTTGATAAAAATATTTGTGCACATGGTAATAGGGAAAAGCTTGTTTTCCTGTCACAAGTATATTCATTGACAGTGTATCTATTGACATTTTAGTAAGGCATTTATTATTTTTTTAATTTTATAGGATTTATATAGCGCACATATCCAAAAAACTGCTCTCGGCGCTTTTCTGCCCTGGTCATTGGATACAGAATCAATCGTACACAACATGCACCCTCCTCCACTCCCTGGGGAGTATTCCCAGTTGTGCATGTAATCAGCACTAATAATTTCATTCTGAATTCTTCATCTCCTACCAGGTACCCATCCATACTCCTTGTGGTGAAGAGGCAAATGCAGATAACGCGTCTTGCCCAAGGACAAAAGCAATGTGACAAGCATCGGTCTTGACCCCCAACCTTCTGATTGAAAGTCCAACGTCTTACATGCTACGCCATACACACAGAGGTATCTCTGTAGGATTATCTTGGGAAGTCCGTCTCGGGGTCGTGTCCTGTGTCCTTATATCTTGTGTAAAATGGGAATAAATTCAGTCACCTAACTTCAATTTACATTATGCAGACACTTAATGTATGTGGTTAGAGGGCAGAAATGGAACTCTGGTTTGGTGATGGTGGTGCATGCCTTTCAATCCCTGAGACTAGTGTTCATATCTTGTAAAAATCACCGCCATTCTCTAAAAGGCTAAACTTATGTTTTAGGTTTACAGAGCATTACATCCAACCTGTAAAGCTGTGTCAAGATTATACAATTTTCTTTGACAAAAACTGTTGTATGCCCATATATAGTCATGATGTGCCTATATATGGTTATGATGTGATGTCATCATGACCATATTTAGGCATGTCACATGTTTTTGTCAAATGAAATTTGATAGTTTGGACCGAGCTTTTGAGGCAAATCATCACTTTAGGGTAGACAAAATATTTATTTTTTCAATTCCATATCCTAATTCAATCTAATAACAACTAATAACAACAACTTATAAATCTCACCTCAAAAAAACTAAGCTGCTTGGCAAGATTTGGAAAATGTCCCTTGGATTCTGAGTCAGATAAAGTGATACTCTTCCTCAGAAGTTTGGATCTGAAATGAAATTTCCTTGTGTTAATCCTTAGGAACACTACAGCTTTTAACTGACCATGCAGCTCTGACAGTTAGTGTGTGTATGGTTCTTTGGTTTATATGAACTACTATTCAAACTGGTCAAGTCACTTTCTATCTTGTCAAACAATGATGTTAACATCAGCATATAAATCCAACATAAAAAAGACACATTGTTGACATTAACAGAGATCACTTACTTTGGTTCGGATTTAGCCTTCTCAAATAATTTAGTAACTCGCATGGCACTTTTGAACCCTGATAAGGTCGTCAAAAAGTCATCAATCTTCTTCTTACTGTAGGTAACATCCTCAAAGAAGATGGCACGACTATCAGGATGACTGTTGCTTTGCCTCTTTAAACCAAGCGAGTGTATTCTGATCAAAGACGCAAGATACACAAACAAGAGCAACAAGCAAAGCAGATGTTGTTCACACTGATAGACAAAAATCTTAGTGTATGGCTGGATTAGGAGCAATTGAAGAAAATTGACATTTTCAAGTGGTCTTATTTAGAAAAAAAAACAGTGAGTCATCTCAATAATAATATTTAAATTCATCAAATACAAAATAAATTTCACAATGCTATACTTTAGCACAAAATAGAAAACAATGGACCACAATACATTTTACACAAAAAAAGCCAGAAATTCAGTGCTACCGAGAAACCTCTAACAGCTCTTTTACTAGCCTACCCTTGTTTAATATGGATAGCAATAAGCAAAAAATTATCACAATAAAACAGAATAACTGTTTACCTGTCATTTATTGAGTCAGGGTTGCATAGAGGGGCACATAGCCATTGTTTGAACAGTCGTTTCCCAAAGGGTGTGCAGCATTGCTCCATTGTGCCTAGCAATGTTCCCTCGGTGGTCCCTGTAAGCTTGTTATCCAAAATGTCCAGATTAGCCAGTGTCACACCATCTAGAATCTGGCATAATTATACAGAAAATTAATAACAACAATGTGTTTGCATTTGTATATTTTATAAAAACTTTCTTGTGTATCACATTATGTTCGTTCATGTGAATCCATAATCATGGGAGCCACACAGGTGTTAATGTAGCTGCCTTTAGCGGATAGTCGCAAATAATATGGATTCTAGTTGTTGTTATCAGTTGACTGGAACATCCGTAGCAGGTTCATCACGTGCAGGTTAACAGCATGACACATAAAATGCATCTGCATAGCTACTCTTGCGTTAAGAGAGATATAACATACAATTTCCCATGGACACAAGCGAATGTAATAAGAGATGAGAATCTCTGCCAGCTGGTTGAGGGCCAGAACTACAAAGATTTGCCAATCATTTTTATAGGAGACACATACAGTACATACCATGTTTCTATGCCCAGTAGCAAACTCTGCTGGTCTTGGCTTATGTTCAATAGCTTCTTTATCATCTACAGGAACATATGTGGTGAAGTTTTTCATGGACAAGAGTTCTTGATCTAGGCAACATTTCCTCAAATACCTGGAATGAATTAATAAAGAAAAATAGAAATTATATGTAAACGTTTAACAATTTCAATGTTATGATAATTAAACATAATCATCATCCTTTTCGTAATCCTATTTTCAAAAGGGACATTTTAAAGCTGTAGTTCAGTGTGCCTTAAGGCATTGCTTGTGTGTACAATCAGAATTGTAAAGAAGAGAAGAGAATTTTCTAAAAATTGAAGTTAAAAGACTTTTCAACAATTTTTTACAGAAATGTCGTAGAAATTAACGCTATTTACCATCATCATCTTTTTCAATATCATTAACATCAAAATAATCATAATAATCATTAATCAGCATCATCATCATTGTTGTCATTGCAATCATCAGCTTCTTCATTCTCATCTTAATTATTTTTTAATATTGTTGAATGGAACCTTACCAGATGCATGCACCTAATGCACTTAGTGCGAGTTCCTTCCCTTCTTTTGGGGTCAAACCAAGCGAGTCTCCTAATAAGTACAAAAATACTAAAATTCATTTTTAAGTAACATCATGATATATTTCTAAGTATTTTTGTTTGCTCTCTAATAGGGTTGTAAAAAAATTTAGTTTTGTGTTCTGTATAAACACTTTAATTACAAATAACAACAATTAAACAAACCAATGACAAAAATTATCTAACTAAATCTATACTCCATTTAAGGTAACTATAATGACCATTATATAACCACAGATCTCCCTCCAATTAAAGACCACTTTTGGGACCGGAGTTTTAGCAGATTTGGTCTTTAAATAAAGATAAGACATTTGTGAGGTCTCACCACAAAATGAGTCTCATGGTCAGAAATTCAAAAATTGAGTTTATATTATATTTGGGTAGATCATATTAAGCTTTCATTTGGTCTTTGAATGGCTTCCCTACTGTAAGTAAATCCAGAGATGTGAACATTTAAAATTTAGGTGTATGAGAACCACGTTTTGAGAAAATCAGCCTCAAAGATAAACTAACCTGTACAAATAATATGACTAGAATTACAGAAAATGTGCAGAGAACACTGTTTTGGCAAGAAAATTCACTTACAAAGTATACAGTCATAAAATATAAGTATCAAATTATTCAAAAACATTAAAATCAAAATTTTATAAAAATGTTGACTTTGGCCTGTTTTGGTGAATATCTGAATATGATTTCACCAACGATGCGTCTCATTTTGTGGTGAGACCTCACATTTGTTAAAATGGGACCACAGAAAAGTCATCTTTAAATAGTAGGAGGTGGTCTACAATTGGAGGGAAACCTGTATTTTAAAGCCATTATCTGCAGCAGCTAGTGGTCTGGAACCCAATATTAGTAATGTATACCAAATGGCATGTACTTACATGGCTAATATCCAAATGATACAATAAGCTAGTTAAATTCATTATTTAAATATAAAATCACATCACAACAATAGTGAAAACAGCAGTGAAAATTTTTTTTAAAAATAATAGAATAATACAGAACAACATTTGTTTATAACACCTTCAATAAAATGTTGCAGATTTTTAATCCTAACAGCATACCTTCGGCAACCATATTCTGAAGTGTGTCTGGCCAATTGGACACGTTCTGGTTTCCATCATCACCACCACAACCATTGAGGTAGTTCTCTTCCACAAGCAGTTTCAACGTTTTTTCTGCAGACCAAAACTGGCTACCTGGTGCCAGTGCTTCTTTGAGGACAGACAGCAAGTTGTTGTTAAGAATCTGCTGAGTTTGGGAATGTTGCTTTCCTCTTTCAAACAAAACCTATAAAGAGTTTAAAACTGTTAAAAAAATATCTTGAGCGCGCCGTTTGAACGTTGCGACGCCCCGGCCTTAACCGCTCGTCCCATAGAGTTGCCTAATTACTTGGTCAATATTGCAACATCCTCACGTAAAACTGCATGGTTTTCAGTAGCTTATTCATGAATATACTGGTATACACAAGATAGTAATGACATTTCATCCCATTATACGCACCTGAGCCGGTGTATAATGTGCTATTAATGTCCGCAGACGAGAACAGTGTCGGTCATCTTGAAACTGACCAATCTATAAGAAACAACACAATGTATTTAATCCTGTACATTTAGTGCACATGGCTTTCACAACATTATGTGAAACTAAATTTACATGGCAAAAATGGTGGTTAGAACAAAATATTGATGAAAAATTACTTCAACCAAATAAAGTAATTTTTTTATTCATCACCATAATTAATTTCACAATCAACAAATAACATGGAAAAACAGATTAAACATTAAATAATAGCATTTTTATATTTGCCAAATGACAGATACACTTTATTCAGTTCTGGGCAATCACTTTCTTCTTTATGCCATACTTTGCTTGTTCATTTATGTTTGGTAAATTCCACTCTAAAAAAGTAGCAAATACCATATTAATAATAATAATAATAGATGGATTTATATAGCGCAAATAAACGAGGTCTCTATGCGCTAGACAATATTGAAGTCAAGAACACAAAGAAAAAAGCCGGGAAAAAAACAAAAAAAAACAAAACAATAAACACCAAGCTAGCACCCAAACCGTAGTATTACACAAGGTAGGGAATACTTTATCAGTTTTCTCCTAATTGAAAAATTGTTACTGGTAAATTTGTCAATATAAAGCCAGCTAAGCGCGTGCAAATGTGAGGTATTGCCTCTTTTAAGTGGAATTCAACGGCTTCAAAAAAACTATACACATAATCATAGCCTAGGCCTGAACTGGAATGATGTTCAATTATTAAAAGAAGGCCAGCCTAGGTTACCCAGGCCTAATAATTTCCCTTTTTATTCTACCAACACACAATTTTTACTGGTTGGTCAGGTATTTTTACTGGTAAAATTGACGGCTAAAACAGCTTTGGGAGAACACTGTTTATTCAATTCCGAACAAAATATCATATCCTAATTCATGCTTCTTACATGGAATTTTCCAATAGACGTATCAATAAAACAAACACCGTAAATGGTTCCACCAGCTATGGTGTCGCTACATGGTCTTTCAGCAACCGATAGTAAATAATTGTTCCTTGCATCACAGGAATCACCGTCGATGAAACTAAATGTTCTTGTTCCTACGCAAGGATTTCAAAATAAAAAAATATCAGATCAAGAATATATTTTCTTTGCCAAATCACAGATGCATAATAATCCTATTTCTATACATTTATTGCATAAATCCCTAAATTTGCAGGTAATCAACTTTATGATTTTGTAATAAAACTTGTCTTTATGTACATGCTTTTTGATATGTTAAATTTAAATACAGTAATGAAACAGTATTATAAAATCTAAACCACTCTGCCAATATTACTTAATAATAATGTATATTATAAATGTAAAAGAGGAAATCTGGGAGATTAGAAAGTCACTAGGATTACTTCTAACACTTAAAAAGCAGAGTTTATAGCAAGTTTAAATCTGTAAAGTACAGTTGGTACTCACCCAACGTGGTCACCCTACAGGCTTCTCTCTTCACCACTTTATCAAATTTAGTTGCACCACCACCCACTAAAATCCAAAAAAAAAAAAAAAATTCCATAAAATCAATGATCATAAAAACATTTTTCATGGCAAATAATATTTCCTGGTTCTACGGCTTAACCAGTTTTTCCATTATCAAGGGAACCTAGGAACACAACGGAAAGTAATACACATTCACTAAACATTCTACTGCCTGTGAAGTCCTATTAACAGGGGTCTCAAATTGGAGGAAATCATTTGCTGGAGACCTGCGGCTGCGAGGCGAAAGGTATGAGGGGGTGGGGGACCAGAGATGGTCTACAGCACCTCGGCCCCACCATGGTTCGTGCTGAGGCAGACAAATTTAATTGTGGCACCTGGTCTAGATGGTCAAAAATGGCCCTACCATACTTAAATTTAAATATAATTTTCTTTTCCACCCTATTTAAAAAAAATTATTTTGAATTATTTAGTGGGCCCGGGCCAGCTCTCCTCACGCCCTTTTATTCGCCACTGACCTGGTTAATGAGCTTTCTTAACACGTTTTAATTTTATTTTGCTGAACATAGTGATACCCATCGGCACTAACTTTCT